CTCGAAAATACAAATGGCCATAAAAAAAAAATTCGAGCTAACTTTTACAAACCCAGCGAGGGTTTTGCTATTGGATAGGTATATTTTCAGAAAAAAATGGTCCGGTGCGGTTTGATTTCGATGACCCGAAAATTGTCGCACAGTGTTATTTATTAAATTATTTTGCCTTAAATTTAACTTGATTTTACTAGAGTAATCGGTATACGTCAAATAATGTTTAACTTATAAAATTATAATGAATTTTATGTATAAAATAACCATTATTTAAAATTTATTTTAATTAAGTTTCAGTATGAAAATTATCTTCGCCAATTGAAATCCTGTCAATTTAGACCTATTAAAAACTGTCAAAAATACGGTTTGCTTACGGATAAAAGGAACTTCCTTAAGGAAGGAATAAAAATGCCAAAATTGGCGAATATAAATACCACTTGAAGTTCGATTGAGCGGGAAATTTGTTGGACTTTTAACTCAAACTTGGTGGTTTGTTAATTTGACTCTAAGAAATTTGGGCAAATTAACATCAATTCTTTGAAAAGCGGAGAGCATTTCTTCAATGAATAGGCGTCAATTTTCGACCTGATATGATAAGATTTAAAAAATTTACATTGAATTTTTGGTTACTTTAGGCGTGATGTGAATACAAAAATTTCAAATAATTGTCTAAATAATACGCCTAAAGTAAGCAAAAATTCAATGTAAATTTTTAAATCTTAAGATTTAAAAAATTCATTGAAGAAACATTAGTTTACACCGAAATTCGTTTACTTTGGTGCTTTTTCAATTTAGTAAAGAAAAAAAGACAAAAAAAATAATACTTTTTACAAAAAAATACATTAAAATTTTGGTTTTGATACTTAAAATGCCATTCTTTTGGTCTAAATATTTTCTATGAGGGATATAATACTACTACTGCTACAATGGAACAAAAAATTCAAAATATAAATACATATTTGACATATTATAATACCTACCGATAACTTTGTATGAAGTCCCTGTATATTTTTGACAAAAAATTTCAAAAATATACAGGGGACTCGTTACATCCAAAATAGATTTGGGGCAAAATAATTTAATAAATAATCAAAATATTAATGAGAAAACTTACATTTTAAGATAATTGGACAGAGCATTTTATTACGTAATTCGAATCCTAGACGTCCTGGAGCAAAACGAGTGGCATTTTTGAAATCTGCATTCCAATATTAGGTAATGTATTTGGGTGTACTCAATGTTAGTAATTTGATCTATCATACACTCTAAGAAAATATATTGTAATCCATAACAATATACGTAAAATTACTTTTGTTATATGTACTCTAATCATTTTGTTATAAAAATTTAGTTAAGTTAGATATTTGATTAGGCTATTACAACCATCATGTACGGCTAAACTGTTAGTACTACACTAGATGGTTAAAATTATAAGATTATCTGGTTACAATAACAATATAATGTTGTCACACATTATTAACAATATGTCGTTGTAGTTTTTACTATACAGAAAGTTTATACATATCATACGTATAGTATATTTAACCATATAGAGGGTTATAAGGTATTTGCATATGATTATTATAACTAAATAAATTATTGTTTTGTGCAACAACAAAAATATAGTTAAAGTGACAATAAAACTGTTACAATATAAACATCGTTAACATAACAGTAAATATGGCTGTGCCTATACTAATCAGAATATTTAGTAAAAGTTACTATATATTTGATTAAGATAACCATTGTTTTTTTTTCAGTGTAGTGTTATTAGTGACTGGTTTTTCGCTATGACAATTAGTCAAATATGACTCCTAATTAGTTATTTTTGACTAATTCATTTTAAGAGAGATAGGAGTGGATAATAGTATATTATCCTCATTACCTCAAGTTTGATAAACGCCATTTTAGTTACGAATTTAAATTAGGCAGGAGCGAGCTGGTCTTTAATTAAATAGTTTTATTTAAATTTAAAGTTTATAAACGAGTTGCTATACTTTTTTTACGAAAAATACTTATTATTATCTAAAAATGATTTAAACACAATATCGCTTTGTATAAAGCGATATTTATACAAAAATAGAGTAACCGTAAAGTCGGTTTCATATACTTTCGAAATGCGAATTGCGAAATGTGAAAAATGTTTTCATTGGTCCATTTAATTTGGCGGGAAACGCATTTTGACGTTTAGACAGATCTTGCGAATTTATAAGATTTTAAATATAGGGGGCAGAAATTTTAAGATTGATCCAATATTTTAACATTTTAATCCAGGACACCCCAAAAAGCAGGAAAATAGGACGGTTAGTAACACTAACTAAGTTATGTAATAAAACCTTTAATTCTAACTTTATACTATTTATTTCATGTTTATTACACAATGTGTAATACACTTTAAAAAAGTGTTTTTTTAATTTTAACCAAATAATAACCAGATTTTATGTTAATCCAGGTCCACATAACTTTATGTTACGTTTACAACAAACTGTAATCTGTTAACTAAGTAAATAAGTACCGGGTTGTAATTATTACAGACATAGCTTAAATGTCAAACATAACATACTTATACAATAGCCAATAACAATAGCCTATAACTCCCTTTCACTTACTCCTCGTTCTTGCGATATCTTCTTGTAATATTCATTTATATATTAGGTTGGGTTTTCACAAATGTTACAAGAACTCTTTATAAAGAGTTCTTGTAACATTTGTGAAAACCCAACCTTAATATCAAAATACTAATACTCAATACTAAAAACTTAAGATTAAATTTATTTTTAAAATGGTTAAACCATAAACACCGAGAAAAAAGGGTATCCGGAAATTTGTTCGAAATAAATTTGTTCGAAAGAAAATTATTCGAAGGAAATTTGTTCGAAAAAATTTGATCGAATGGAAATTTGTTCGAAAGAAATTTGTTCGAACGTAAATTTGTTCGAACGGAAATTTGTTCGAAGATTGTTTAATTTAAGCTCATTTAATAAAATAAAAACAACGAAATGTAAGGAACAAGATAGAAGCTGGCCCTGTTACTCCAAGACAACCGAGCCGATATTACTTTTTCCGATGAATACAAGCAGACAAGCAGTGGTGAAAACTTCCTGTTGTACGATTCTGGAATGACACCCGACAGGATTTTAATTTTTGGCACCCGAAAAAATCTGGAACTTCTCGAGTCTTCCCTACACTGGTATGCTGACGGAACATTTAAAACAGTGCCAACACAGTTCGCGCAACTGTACACTGTACATGGATTTAGCGATTGCATTGCAATTCCATTATTATATGCATTGTTGCCCAATAAAACAGAAACAACGTACCGGGAACTTTTACGTGCTATTAAGGAATTAAATCCAAATGTTAACCCATTATCTGTAATGATTGACTTTGAGAGTGCGATGATTGCAGCTTTATCCGTTGAATTTCCTAATACAGTTATAAGGGGGTGTTTTTTCCATTTTTGTCAATGTATATATAGGCAAATTCAATCTTCAGGACTTAAGCAAACATATGACACTGATGCAAATTTTGCATTAAAAATGAGGATGTTAACAGCACTGGCATTTGTCCCTACTGAGCAAGTGAAAACAGCCTTTGAAATGCTTCAAGACAACGAAGTATTGCCAATGGAAGCCCAGCAGGTTGTTGATTACTTCGAGGACAATTGGATTGGACGTACGCTTCGCCGACAACAACGCCGTGCACCACGATTTCCGATTGCGTTGTGGAATTGTTTCCAGTCGGTAACCGAAAATCTCCCGAAGACAAATAATGCTCTGGAAGGATGGCATCGCGGTTTCCAGGCACAGATTGGAGCAGAGCATCCGACAGTTTGGAAGTTCATTACCGCCTTAAAACGAGAACAATCTATTAATGAACTTCGCATTGAACAGGCTATAGCTGGTCGAGCAATTGAAAATAAAAAAAAATATATAAAGATGCTGCTGCAAGACTTCTAAATGTTATAAATAATTATAATTATTTATAACATTTAGAATATATGACCCTCAAGGCGATATCCTAGCATATTTAAGAGTTGTTGCTCACAACATTTCGTACTAATTTATTATATATTTGAACTTTTCTAGTGGTTAATAAAATATTTTTCTCTCGATATTTTGGCTTTTTTTCGAACAAATTTCCGTCGAACAAATTTTTATTCGAACAAATTTCTTTCGAATACATTTCTTTCGAACAAATTTCCTTCGAACAAATTTCCTTCGAACAAATTTCCTTCGAACAAATTTTTTTCGAACAAATTTCCTAGAACCAGAAAAAAGGGATGGTAAAAATTACGAACTTTAATAATACTGAAAAAGTTCAGTCTCCCTTTGCTTCAATATGACAGAAATGTGTACCCTTCTATTATTTGTCAGTGTACATTATGATTTATTCATTTTAAAGATTATTGTAACCAGTTTTTAGCAACTTTATTCGACTAAGTTAAACAATTTACATAATATACCAAATACACCAAAAAAAAAAACACAAAGTGCTTAAAGTACTTTTTGCCAACGATGTTGGCATCTTCAGAAGCGAAGTGTAACAGTTAAACTTTGCTTCTGAAGATTCCAACATCGCCATGGCGAAAAGTACTTTAAGCTGTTTTTGTTTTGTTGCTGTGTTTTGTTTTGGCGTTGGGGAATATTTCTAATATTTGTTTAACATATCACCAAAGTTGTCCTTTTTTTCAAGAATAATTTGTTAAGTAGCTACGTAGAAAGTCGAGATTAAAATTTACTTTTTAATCATCCAAGGTCAAACAAAATTATCAAAAATAATATTATGAATACTATGAATATGCAACTATTTTCGCATAATTAATACCTGTTGATATGAAAATAAATATTGTTAAACATATCGTGATATTATAAAGAACATTAAAAATGGGGCTTTTACGATTTTTTAAATTAACAATTGCTTACACAACGAAATATGTTATGAAGGTATAAAACTTCGACGTAAAACTGTAAATTATTGAATGAACAATCAAATTTTTATTGCAGGTGCTAAATCAAACCAAAATGGCCAAGGCCGTGGAACAAATGAGGAAGAAAAACAAGAAAAGCGAAGAAAAAAGTAAAGAAGCCCAAACCAACTCGTTCAACATAACTTCGATGGGATGGTCCCAAAAATGGACGTTCCTCAAAGAAAACATCACCGTTGAACCGATGTTGGCCTGTTACATTATACCGAGCGTGTTTGCCAACCTGGCGACACAAAACTTAAACCTGGAAAAAGCCTGTAGAGTGAACTTGGCCTACTCGACAGAAATATGCGATGCCTTAAGCGAAAGGAGAACAGCCAACTACACGTTTGAGGAAAGTCAGGTCCAGCAACTTGTTGCATCGATGGGTGTCTGGAAAACGATGCTACAAAGCGCATTACCGGCCTTCTTAATCATGTTTATAGGCTCTTGGAGCGACAGATGGGGCAGAAGGAAACCCTGCATGATAATTCCAATTATAGGAGAATTTATGTCTGTGATCGGGTTGATGTTCTGCACGTATTTCTTCTACGAATTACCCATGGAAGTGGCGGGATTTATAGAAGGTTTATTTCCGGCTATAACGGGTGGTTGGTTTACCATGTTCATGGGTGTTTTTAGTTACATTGCCGATGTGACGACGGTCGAAATGAGGACTTTACGAATAGGCATTGTAAATGTCTTTTGTTCTCTTGGCATTCCGATTGGTCTTGCATTAAGTGGAGTTTTGTATAAAAAAATTGGTTTTTATGGTGTTTTCTCGATTTCTGCGTTTTTGTATATCGTTGCTATTTATTATGGTTACACCAAAGTTATCGAACCGAAAAAAATCGATGTGCCGGCTACTTCGGAAAAGTCGTGTGGATTTATAAGGGACTTTTTTGATATAAAGCATCTTGTGGATACGTTTAAAGTTGCTTTTAAGCAAGGAGAAAATAACAGACGGACCAAAGTAATACTTTTAATGCTGGTTGTGATGGTTGTTATTGGACCCATGCACGGTAAGTTTACAATATTTACAATAAAATACAAGAGCAAGTTGATTTTAATAAACAATTATTTTTTTTAAGTAGCAACAAGTGCTATAATATTATATTAGAATATGTCAGATACCCACGTTGTAATATGTTGATTTCTACATTCGTAAAATTCTTCAGGAGACGACAAATATTTGTCGTCCCCTTAAAAAATTTTGCGACACATTAATATATATTTATATAAAAATATTAAATAAACAATTTAATCTCTAAACCATAAGAGTCAATCCAAATGAAAACACCAAAAATGAATTTAAAAGTGCGCTGCATGATTTTTTATTTTGATGAAAAAATTTGAGGATGATCTTTTAGGTGTCATATATGAAAATCCGTTGCCGTTTTAATTTTTTGTTGCTTTACTTTTATTTGGCACCCCTTAGAAGTCTGAAATAGTGTCAATTTCTTACTCTCTTATAGTGGGCCAGAACTTTTTTTCTGTGACAAATATTGAAATAATTTTAATTTTGTTTTACTGTCCAGTAAGTGTGTTTTCGATATAAATTATTATTATCCAAATAGTTCATCTCATAAAACAATGGTAAACCACTAAAGATTCATGATAATTTGCCAATTTTTGTGATTTTTGTCTGGCTCCTGTGCCTATTCTACTGAATTTAGAAGGTTCATTTTTTTCAGGTATAAAGTACTTATACAATAGAAAACGTAACTATTATTTTAAGTATCTAGACTATCAATTTCTTTATTAAAAAAATTATTGAAAATTGATAATTCTCAAAATTAGCCAATTTTGCCCTCAGAAATCATTATGTTGAGGAAAAAATAAAAATCTGAAACTTTTAGGAAATGTAGTCCCCACCTTCATCTTTTCAGTCCAGTTAGTCTTGTTTTGTTATTTTTATCCATGTAAAAGATATAATAATTTTTTTAATGCCAGTTAAGAAGCGATATTGTTAGTTTTATTTATAATTTAAAATTTAGATGGCTTTGACTTTGTCAATTCATGTTTGGTGGAGAAATGTCAGAATGCGAAAAATATTTCATAAATAATATTTGTGCGTATTTCTTTGGTAAATTTTGTATATAACATAATATGTCATATTATGTTATATACAAAACTTTTTAAAGTCGCCAAAGGAATACCACAAATAATAATTATGAAATATTTTTGATAGTTCAGCCATTCCACGCTACTCGGGAATTTTTGTAGCGTCCGTTACAATCAAAAATTGTAAGTAAAACTACCGTAATTATTATGCTTATAAGTTTAAGCCTAATTATTACAAGCATAATAAACATGTTTGCAATATTAACTATTGTAAAGGTATTTCATATAATTACGGTAGCATTTAATCACAATTTTTTATTGTAACGGACGCTAGAAAAATTTCCAAGTAGCTTGGAATGGCTGAACTATCAAAAATATTTCATAATTATTATTTGTGGTATTCCCTTGGTGACTTTAAAAAGTTTTGTATATAACATAATATGACATATTATGTTATATACAAAATGTACCAAAGAAATACGCACAAATAATATTTATGAAATATTTTTCGCATTCTGACATTTCTCCACCAAACATGAATTGACAAAGTCAAAGCCATCTAAATTTTAAATTATAAATAAAACTAACAATATCGCTTCTTAACTGGCATTAAAAAAATTATTATATCTTTTACATGGATAAAAATAACAAAACAAGACTAACTGGACTGAAAAGATGAAGGTGGGGACTACATTTCCTGAAAGTTTCAGATTTTTATTTTTTCCTCAACATAATGATTTCTGAGGGCAAAATTGGCTAATTTTGAGAATTATCAATTTTCAATAATTTTTTTAATAAAGAAATTGATAGTCTAGAAACTTAAAATAATAGTTACGTTTTCTATTGTATAAGTACTTTATACCTGAAAAAAATTAACCTTCTAAATTCAGTAGAATAGGCACAGGAGCCAGACAAAAATCACAAAAATTGGCAAATTATCATGAATCTTTAGTGGTTTACCATTCTTTTATGAGATTAACTAATTGGATGATAATAATTTATATCGAAAACACACTTACTGGACAGTAAAACAAAATTAAAATTATTTCAATATTTGTCATTGAAAAAAAGTTCTGGCCCACTATAAGAGAGTAAGAAATTGACACTATTTCAGACTTCTAAGGGGTGCCAAATAAAAGTAAAGCAACAAAAAATTAAAACGGCAACGGATTTTCATATTTGATACCTAATAGATCATCCTCAAATTTTTTCATCAAAATAAAAAATCACGCAGCGCACCCCATTTGGTGTTTTTATTTGGAATGACTCATAAGCTGTATGACATTATTTCATAAAAAGTAAAATTGGAAAATTTTGTGGGATAAGTCAGATTAGATTGAAGTTGAAGATAGTTAGGATTATTATACATAAAAATGTTAATTCAGAAATAAAAGATCGGTATACAAGTTAATAAATATTTATTTTTAACATAAAATAAAATACCTATAGTAAAAGTATTTTTGTTATCGAATATTGTTTTAATTTGACAAATAACTATAAAAAATATTTTGGATTGTGTTTTTTACTTAGTATTTAATACTTTTTACTAATTAGCTACTTAAGTATAGGTATATAGTAGGGGTGTCAATCCCGAAAATCCCGGGATTAAAAGTCACAATCCCGGGATCTTAGTAATAAGTTACAAAGAATAAAATAGACTTTTTTTTTAAGCGTATGACATAAGCATATATATAAACAAATTATTATACACCACCGTACAATAATGAAAATGCATTGAAATTACATAGCAAGAGTGGTTCCATCTATAGCATAAAATCAGCAAAGAAAATGTAAAATTACAGGTCACTGTAGAATAAATTTATGCACATAACCTATAATATAACATATTTCAAACTTCAAACCTGAAAAAATGACACAAACTTGATAACTTCAATGTAAGTTACAGCCCCAATTGGAACTCACCAAGGCCCGATTGATAAAAAAAATTGAATTATTTGTTAATGGAAGTAAATGTGGGTACAATGTGCCTACGAATTCTTGAAAACCATTTTTCCGACTAGTGTGAAGTCCGAAAGATATCGTTCGTTAGTTTGTTTGTTGTTTTATTTTAAATTGGTTTTAAAATTAATGATATATATTTTTTCGAGACTGATCCCGGGATCCCGGGATTTGTTACCTTTGGTCCCGAAATGCCCGGGATTGGAAAATGGGCTCGGGATTGACACCCCTAGTATATAGGTACCTTTATACGTAGTTTATGGTATATTTTACTATTATATAGGTAACTGAACTAAATATGCTTAACAGAAATATTCCTAAATGAACTTTTTATAGCCATTACTTTCTTAACATTCTAAGTCTATGTTTAGAGTAGACTAATTTTTACCACTAAAACTTTGCACCTTCCTTTGAACCTGCCTATAGGCCAGTAAAAATATTCTTAGGATAATGCTATATGTCTTTTAAGCATGTTCTTTAGAAGAAATATAGCATGATCCTAAGAATATTCTCACTGGAAGGTTTAAAAAACATTCTTAGAATAAAGTGTGCTATCAGGAAAGTATCCTTCTATGTATGGGTATATTTTTTATTTAAAGAGCCACAAGGTCGTCTAACAAAAAAGTTGCGTAATTACAAGTCTATTAAAATGGCATTTAAAAAACATTTAAAAAACGCAGCGGTTCTCTAAAAACCTGTCTTTTTTACATGTAAACATACAATTTTTCTACATTTTGATCCAATTTGTGATTTTTTTCGCCTACTGAATTTTGACCAACATCTTTTGTATTTCCCATGGCCACCATATTGGAATTTTACATGGTTAGATAATTTAAAAATCAAGGAATCCAACGATTTATGAAACTACATAAGTTATGGCGGCCATTATAAAAAAAGATGATGATGGTAACCCAAATTATATACTACTACTACTATACTACTACTATACTACTACTACTATAGTAGCGAAGAAATGGGAGGAAAATGTTAATTAATTAGAGTATGTTTACGTGTAAAACTAACGTTGTTTAAAAATTCCCAGGAATAACAAAGTTATAACAATTTTTGGATTTGAAAGTTTATACAACCATTGTAAAAAATAAACCTTATTTTATCAGGCCTGTCATCAAACTTTTTACAAAAGAGGAGTAACATGGTTGTCCTTAGCACTTTAAGGCCTCATTTGAGGCTTACAAGGGTCACTGTAAAACACACAATGTTTAAAACGATTATTAGTCTGTATAAACAGCACACAGCTAAAGCACAAGAATTGTAAACAACATAAAAGTGGCCGCCGCACAGTGTTTCAATTCTCGAAAATATCGGCAAAACCTCAAAAATTTAAATTTTTTTTCAGGTAAATTTTGAGTTAGATGGGTAGTTAATACCTGTCTTCATCCTGTATTGAAAACAAATTATATAAATTACGTATATTTTGTCTTGTGATCAGTTTAAACTTGACGCTTTCAGTTGAAGGTACTTTACACGCGATCGCTGCGGAAAATTGTTTATTGTTTAAAAGTGAATAACTTGTGTTTGGTGTGTCCGATTGTTATGCGGTTTGATGAAGGGTGATCTTCAAGGTATGTAAAATTCAGATATGTATTTGTTTTTCGTAGATTTTGCTTGTACAACGGGTTGTTGTAACCGACAAGATCGGTCTGTTAAAATCGCAAACTTTGAATCGAGCTTTTAGAACAATGGAGCTACAAAAATTGTAATGAATTGTAAGGCATCAGTTCAAGATCCGTTAAATGGCTTAGAGTTTTGTCTATCAAGTCATCAATAAATTATCTGCCCCAACTTGCCCCCGGCTCTTTAAAACTACATGTTCTTGGGCGCTCAGGCATGGTTGTGGTAAAAAACCTCGCGATTTTTAGCCTATGTTGCGCGCGTATCTGTATTTTTGCTTTACAAAATATAAGATTTTTTTTATTTCTGTGTTGCGTTCATGACGTTTACTCGATTCACTCGGATTTAACTCAAAACGTTTATTACA